ATGATAGATGAGTTCAGAGGCGTAGCCATCATTTCAGAAGTGAGGGGGGACAGAAATGTTATATATATATATAAAACATTACAATATAACATTTCTGTAATCTATATAATCTACCAGTCAACAGTTTTTGAACAGTAAGATTTTTTATGTTTTATAAAGAAGCCTCTTCTACTCACCGAGCCTGCATTTATTTGATCAGAAATACAGCAAAAGCAGTAATATTGTGAAATATTTGTACTATTTAAAATAACTGTTTTCTATTTGAATATATTTAAAAATTATTCCTGTGATGCGCAGCTGTATTTTCAGCATCATTCCTCCAGTCTTCAGCGTCACATGATCTTCAGAAATCAGTATAATATGCTGATCTGCTGCTCGAGAAACATTTTTTAATTATTATTATTATTATTAATGTTTTTTTAGCAGATAACTAAGCAGATAGAAATCAGATAACTGCTAGACAATAACCAATATTAATGATTTTTTTTATATACTACAAACACTTTTTTTTATCACATAATAAGGCAGAATAGTTTCAATACTGTAATAAATGCTATGTCAGTTAGCACTGCATTGTTCATATACTTTTAAGAAAACTAAGAAAATCTTATTAAAAAAAATTTTAATATTTTTTTTAATAATTTATATACTATTAAATACTGTATATAGATAATATATGTAATGGAATATAAATTATAAAAAATGACTATATATATATATAATATATATATTATATATGTTATATATATTAGAATATAAATTATGAAACAAAATATAAATATACATTTATATATATATATAATGCAATTAATGCAACTGTTACGTAAAATGTATATTTTATCATTTATATTCTATTATATACTACATATAATATATAATAGAATAGACATTAAATTTACATTTCTATACAGTTTTAAGCTTTTAAGTTGTTGCCATTGTGATATTGTGTTGAGTGATCGAGGGATGCTGCAGAAACTCTTACATGAGCGATGCTGATGCCGCAGTAGATGGAGAACGCGGTTGCCAGATCCTCATCGAAACGATTGAACCACGGCCCGTTGGTTTTATTCACCAGTTCTGCCACACCGATCACCTCTGATGAGAGATCAGATCAGAGCAGATGTTCTCGTGGGTTTCTGTACTCGTGTCTGCGGTTGATGCACGTCAGCATCGTCTCTGACTGCCCTCAACATCTCTACAAGCAAAGCCTCAAGGACACACACATTTAATGTCGCACGCACTTTGAGCTCATTCTCTGTAAATCTCAAGCCTCGAGTGGCGTGTTTCTCTTTAGCGGTTCATCTCGATCTGATGGCTGTTTGTGGTAATTATGTTTAAATGTGATTCAGGACTGAATCCTGCAGCATAAATCTCCGGCAGGTTTCACTACACTGTAAAAAAAAAAAGCTACGTTTTTTTTTTGAGGTTGTAAATAATATTATTGGAGTACATTTGACAAGAAAACACTTTCAGTCATTCTACTTCAAAATTTCACAATTCAGTGTGTTACCTGTAGTTTCTTTGTAATTATTTATTTGTGAAATTCACGAGGAATTGAAAATGTTTCAATGTTACATATTTATAAACCGATAGTTCCGGTGCTTGATTCTGATTGGCTGAGCGCGTTCCAAGCTGTTGTAAATGACGCTACAAAGTAACACACACCTTTGTTTACGTTTGTGTGTTGCTCGGCAACCACTTTGTAGCAACCACAACTGTTTCTGAGGAGCTACATTGTTTGGTGGAAGAATACTGTGTTTATTAATATCATTACACTTTATTTGCTCCGTTTTATTTTGTAAACCTTACTACGTATATAACCGTTTTATTTTATAAAAGCAGTAACCCCCGTGAAGCCGTGGTTTACAGTGAATTTATAACAGCTAAGGGGGTTTTAGTGCGTAACAACGCCTCTTAGCTGTTATAAACTCACTGTTAACCACGGCTTCACGGGGCTTATTGCTTTATTTGATCATTTGTATAGATTTAATTTATTTCTGAAAATCTAAAAATTTTTGTCTGAACTTGACCAGAGCGGACAAAATGATCTTTTACAAACCATTTCACATTTGTATATATTTGACAAATATGTAAAGATTTTCTTTATTTCCGTGTCTGATTTTGTCCACAGGGACTGCGTGTCGGGAGAGCCTCCAGGATTGACGTGTCTGACCTTCGTTCTCATCTTTGATGGGGAAGCAGAGGATGTTTCTCGTCCTGAAGCCCGTGCTGTCGTCCACACCGCGGTAAAACAGAGGGTGGGAATACGCATCCTTGATGTTGAGGATTTTCCCAGTGGTGGCCACGTGACCAGCGATGCCCTGATCCGCCGGGATACGAAACTCCTTCTGCTCAGAGACGGAGAGAGAGAGCACTGCTTAACTGGGATCAGGGGTGTGCGATACGATGACTTTTAATCACGGACGATTTAAATGTCTCCACGATCTGCTACTGAAGGAATATCGCAGTAACAGTTCTGGAGCCTCCGTCTCAATATACTGTACAACGCCACAAACACTCACATCACATGTTACTCAGCGGTAGAGTCACACTCACAGGACACTGCACTTATTCACAATCACAAAAGTGCATTATTTGCATGTGCTTTAACCTGTTAACTGTCGGCTCCACTTTTTGAGCATAGACCTGAAACTGTTATACATTTTGAATGCTTTGGACCACAGACTTAAAAGAAGACACTTGGCAGATTATTGTAGAAGTGAAAAAAAGTTATAAAGATTATATAACAAAAAAGTTATGGAAGTGTAAATTAATGAAAATATAAAATGTAATAATTTAAATATTTATATAAAATGTATATTTTACAAAACATGTTTTACTCTAAAGGTCCGAAATTTTCGCATGCGTTTTTCCATTTTTTATTTTTTTTCCCATATTCGTCATACTCTCCTATCAAAATGCATGCTACGGATGCGAAAACGCAGAAAATCTGATCCGAATTTTTTTATGATGGACGAAAGTTTCGGAGGCAGTGTGTAAACGTGATTGTGAGGTCGTAACGACAATGTGAGGTCGTATTTATTTTTTAACGTGCGATACTTTCGGACGAAGTGTGCAATGACCTTAAAACTGCTCGAAAATCTAAACCAAAATTCCGAACAGGTTATGTTCCAAATTTGAGGTTGATATCTCAAAAGATGAGCTTTCAGTGAGATTTAGTTTGGGCGTAGTACCAAGCTTTTCCACTAGATGACCTTCAAACCCCATTAGTAACCATTTAAGGGCGCCTTCATTTCCATATATGGTTTGAGTGATCTGAAACATGTCTTTCCATACTTTTCCCAATATTTATGCATGCTATAATATTTATACATGCTACGAGAACCTCGGACTTGCGTCATAGTTCACGATGCATCAAAAATAGAGAATCTATTGTTTTTTCTATATATTCAAAACACTTTTAGACCTTTTTTTTCTCAAAAATAGAATGGATGTTATCTTTTGAGCAATCGGACGAAGTGTGCAATGACCTTAAAACTGCTCGAAAATCTAAACCAAAATTCCGAACAGGTTATGTTCCAAATTTGAGGTTGATATCTCAAAAGATGAGCTTTCAGTGAGATTTAGTTTGGGCGTAGTACCAAGCTTTTCCACTAGATGACCTTCAAACCCCATTAGTAACCATTTAAGGGCGCCTTCATTTCCATATATGGTTTGAGTGATCTGAAACATGTCTTTCCATACTTTTCCCAATATTTATGCATGCTATAATATTTATACATGCTACGAGAACCTCGGACTTGCGTCATAGTTCACGATGCATCAAAAATAGAGAATCTATTGTTTTTTCTATATATTCAAAACACTTTTAGACCTTTTTTTCTCAAAAATAGAATGGATGTTATCTTTTGAGCACTCTCCATTAAAAAGAATAAAGATTTTTCATGATTTTATATGTGCATCACTATTTCAAAGTAAAGGTCAGAACGCACTCTCTCACTCCGATGAGTACTCTTCTTGCATATTAATAAATTACAGTTGCTCTGTAAAATATTTCAAAAATCAGTCACCTAATATCAAAACTAGAGTCTTTAAGCACACAGGGTTTACATATAAACACAGCTGGTTGTGTCTAAAGTCAAAGTAAACAGTTGAGAGAAACGGATGCGTGTAGCTCTTAAAGTGACAGCAGTCTAATAGTACTAATGCTGCCGCTTGGCATTAAAGGGACAGTTCACCCCAAAATTAAAATCCTGTCATTATTTATTCACTCTCATGTTGTCCCAAACCTGTATTAATTTCTTTCTTGTGCTGAACACAAAAGAAGATATTTTAAAGAATGTGGACAGGAGGAAAAACAATACTATGGAAGTTCCTTACGACCAGCAGCTGTTTGGTTCCCACATTCTTTTATAGCTTCTATGTTCGTCAGAAGAAAGAAACTCTTCAACTTGAGAGTGAGTAAATGATGGCAGGATTTTGGCTGAATGATCCCTTTAATGTTAATAAAACAACAAAACTTTAAAGAACTTTCTAAAAGAACTTTAATACAGTAATCATGGGGACGTTTTTTGAAAATGTCCATTCAAACTAAATTGCAGTAAACTGAATCAATTTGAGCTAAACTCATCTGAATAATAACACTTCTGTCTTCTGTAGAGCTAAATCTGCTTCATAATCGGTCCATTTTATTTTATTTTTTTATTATTAGAAATGTTATGTTTATTTTTAACCACTTTTATGAAAAGCACTTTGATATACGGTATATATAATTGAAACAAAATATACTTCAAATAATGAATTAATATAATAATAATCATTTCTCTTTTTCTGTCTAATTTTTTTCTATTTGTTTTGTAGGTTTTGCTGTATAAGAGTTTTTTCACAAATCACATATCCGTATTTCAGCTCTGTCTGCATTAGACTTGTAAATATGTAGAGTGTGTGCGTTTGATTAAATGTTACAATATTTGATTGGAGTTAATTGATATTTATGAGGCTGCTGCTCTTGCCATGCTAACAGTCTGGAATTGGTTTGGACGAAGCCCAAAACGATCAAACCCATAATGAAGCCTGTGTTTGTGCCTCACATCTCAGCGTTGCTCAGGTTTCTGGCCTCTATGATGATCTCCTGCAGTAATACAGACACGTCATCTGAACGAGAGACAGAGAGAGAATGATGTTACACAGTGAAGCTGCTTCATCACATGTAACACTTTTTTAATGTCGACACGAAACAGCATTTGATTTCTGTAATGCGACTGGAATGATATTATTGCTGTAACACTTTACAATGAGTTTACACTTTAATGCATTAACTAACAATGTGATGCACTATTTATTAATCTTTGTAAATTAACATTACTTAATAAAAAATAACACTGTTCATTGTTAGTTCATGTCAGCTCAGGTCCATTAAATAATAATAACACTTTATATTATATTATACAACTATATTATACAACACTTGCTTTTAATTAATAGTGAATCTTAAAATTAACAATTGACCAAATTAGCTTGGATTAATAAATACGTTAGATGTATTTTTCATTGTTAGGAGTGTGTGTGAGTGTGAGTGTGAGTGTGTGTGTGTGTGCGCGTGCTGCCTTATATTAAACTACTTTAAATTACTTTTTTCACATCAATCTATACTCCTTACACCATAATGACAAAGCAAATAACTGATTTCTGACAACTCTGCAAATGTATTAAAAATAAAACTGAAATAAGTGCATTGCATAAAAAATGTCTATATATAAAAGGATTCACAAATTTAGAGTCTAAATCCAGTAGTTCTTAACTTTCTTATTTTTTATTGTAAGTTTTCAAGTTGATTTTTAATCACTATTATGTAAAGCACATTGGAAATCATGTAACAAGTTTATTTTAAATAATGAACTAAATAATGTCCATTTCTCTTCTGTGTTCTTTTTCATTTGTTTTTATGTGGTTTGCTGTAATTTCTGTATGAAGGCTTTTATTTAAAGGACTGTAATATTCACAAAGCACAAATTTCTGCCCAGTCCAAGTCCAGTACTTCTTATTTTTTATTATTTTCTTGCATTTATGTAAAGCGCTCTGAATGACTATTCTAAATTAAATGTATTATATAAATAAACTGATCTCTCACTCAGTCTTAAAGGGAACATCGGATGCAAAATTCACTTTTACATGCTGTTTGCATTTAAATGTGTGTTAGCAGTGTGCATGTCTCTTTAAATGCTCATTAGCATTTAAAGAGACAAGCACCGAAACGGCTCGCTGTGAACAGAGCTGTTTTTGACCAGGTAAAAGGGTGTTGTTTTACACGACCATTGAGGGATTTGAACCAAAGTATGTCGCAGATATTTCACCAAGGCCCTAAAGAATCATATCAACTTGTGGAAAACGGGCATGCGATGTCCGCTTTAAAGGTACAGAAGCAGAAAGAGCTCTTCTCCTCCTCTCACCTGACACTCAAACTTGAGTTTCTGCTCTTTCTGGAAGGCCAGTGTGCTGGTGAGAACCGTCGATGTGTAACAGAAACAGTGCTGGATCACGTGCTCATCCGCCTCCATGTACCTGAAAACACACCACACACAAACACCACTTTAATGCACATCAACACACACAAACTAAAGCAGGAGGCACTGCAAGAGGCCAAACTAAAGATTATATGAGCTGCATATTTTACATGTATTTTATAAGAGATCAGTGTTATTTTAGCATGACTGATATACTGTTGGAATTTTTGTTAATATTTTGAATTCGTTTTTATTTTTATATTTTAATTTTAGTTAAAGTTTTAGTAATTTTGTTGTGTATTTTTGTCATTTTTATTTTAAATGTCTCTCTCTCTCTCGCTCTCTCTCTCTCTCTCTCTTTCTCTCTCTCGCTCTCTCTCTCTCTCTCTTTCTCTCTCTCGCTCTCTCTCTCTCTCTCTTTCTCTCTCTCGCTCTCTCTCTCTCTCTCTTTCTCTCTCTCGCTCTCTCTCTCTCTCTCTTTCTCTCTCTCGCTCTCTCTCTCTCTCTCTTTCTCTCTCTCGCTCTCTCTCTCTCTCTCTTTCTCTCTCTCGCTCTCTCTCTCTCTCTCTTTCTCTCTCTCGCTCTCTCTCTCTCTCTCTTTCTCTCTCTCGCTCTCTCTCTCTCTCTCTTTCTCTCTCTCGCTCTCTCTCTCTCTCTCTTTCTCTCTCTCGCTCTCTCTCTCTCTCTCTTTCTCTCTCTCGCTCTCTCTCTCTCTCTCTTTCTCTCTCTCGCTCTCTCTCTCTCTCTCTTTCTCTCTCTCGCTCTCTCTCTCTCTCTCTTTCTCTCTCTCGCTCTCTCTCTCTCTCTCTTTCTCTCTCTCGCTCTCTCTCTCTCTCTCTTTCTCTCTCTCGCTCTCTCTCTCTCTCTCTCTTTCTCTCTCTCGCTCTCTCTCTATATATATATATATAATAAAACTGAATAAATAAAAAATTACACACATATATATATATAAAATCTAAAGTAAAACTTATTATATTTTTTTATTTATTTATTAATAATAATTTATTTACTTTTAGTTATTTTAGTATTTCAAGTTAAATTAAATGAGAAATGTTTACACTGAAATACATTTACTATATAAAGTTTTATATTTTATTTTTAGTTTATGTTCATTTTATTTAATTTTTTAAATTTTTTATGGTTTTAGCTGACTATAATAACCTTGTAAGAGATTAAACTTTTTTTGCAACCCTGTAATCAACATTTGGGATGTGTGAAAACCATTTAAAACCATCATTTATGTAAATTTGTTACAGCAATAAACATTACATAAACATCCAATTAAACCTATCAATGAACATCTATGTTACAAATGTTGAAATAACATAAAAAAATAAGACAGAATGATCTTACATAAAGCTGTTTGGGACTAAATGTTGGATTTTAAAAAAACCTAAAAGATAAAAAAAATTAAACATTTGTATAAATATAGTATATCTGATACTTAATGGGACACCAAATGAAGTTCATTATTTTAGTTCGGTTTGTTATTCATATGATACTGCTAAAGAATCAATCAAAACGAGAGATATTTGTACAGAAATAATAAGCAATAAGTGTTTTTATGTGAAATGTGAAAAGAGCGAGAGAACGAGATGAGAGAAACTCAATATCGAATATCTAATATTCAGATCTGGCTGTGTAGAATTTCATTTCCTTTATCTCTATGTGAGACGTCACGCTTCAGTCCAGACGTCTCGAGACTGATGTGTGCTTTAATCTCTTCATTAAACCATCAGTTTCAGATTCATCCAGCAGTCTGTATATATCAGCAGTCAAAATCATTAGGATGTTTAGTGTTTCTGGAAGAAGTGGAATCCATGAAACACTACAGTTCAGAAGCTTGGTCTGAGCAAAGATGCAACAAAGAGGCCATAATCCATAATAAGGCTTCCTCCAGTGAAAAAGTGTTCTGGTGTGAATCAGGAGAGAGATCTGCACAGATCAAGCAGCGTTTAAATGGCTCTAAACTAATATGTGGCTGGATTTTGATGCGAGAGACAACAGCAGATGCACATTTGTACGGAAGTAAACATTAGGGATTCATATTTTAGTTAAAAGCATCTTAATGCTGGATTTGTCTCAGCTTTTGTCTTCTCCAGATGTTCACTGATGGACTGGAGTGCTGTGGATTATTGTGATGTTTTTATCAGCTCTCATTCTGACGGCACCCATTCACTGCAGAGCATCCATTGCTGAGACACTGATGCAGTGCTACATTTCTACAAACCTGATGAAGAAACAAACTCATCCTAATCTTAGAGTGTGCGTGTGTGCGCGTGTGTGTGTGTGTGTGTGTGTGTGTGTGTGAGTGTGTGTGTGTGTGTGTTTGTTTGTGTGAGTTAGTTAACTATATGAAGTGTAGGAATATACATATATGATGTTTCTGTTCAGATGCACACCACCATCAAATTATAAGAAATTAATACTTTCATTCATCAAGGACGCATTAAATTGATCAAAAGTGACAGTAAAGACATTTATAATGTTACAAAAGGTTTCTATTTTAAATAAATGCTGTTCTTTTGAACGTTCTGTTCATCTGTGAATCCTGAAAAATAAAATTTCACAGAAATATTGTGCAGCACAACTGTGTTCAACATTGATAATAATCAGAAATGTTTCTCGAGCAGCAGATCAGCATATTATACTGATTTCTGAAGATCATGTGACACTGAAGACTGGAGGAATGATGCTGAAAATACAGCTGCGCATCACAGAAATACATTACAGTTTAACAGAGATTCATATAGAAAACAGCTGTTTTAGATTCGAATAATATTTAAAAATGTTTAATGTCATCCTCACACACCTCTGTCCACTCAGTTTGTTGAAGGTACACGCTAGCGCCACCACCTGTCCAGTGGCTTGACTGATGACAGGAACACAGAGCATCGAGTTTGGCTCGAACCCCAACAAACTGCTCAATAACCCGCGTTCTTCCTGCAGAGACGCACACACACACACACACACACACGTTATCCGTCATACAGGAACGTCTGTAAACACAAGCAGCACGTCAACATGTGTGTGTTTGACGAGTTTGATCCTGATTAAAGTGAAGGATAGTGACAGTGTCTGTTCCAGATGAACTCATTCAACACAGATCATCTCTCTGTCTGTCTGTGCTGATAATTAGCTGGTTTTGGAGAGCTGTCAGCTGGGAATGAATAAAACAAGCTTCGTTATTATCCGCAGCTGTCTGTGTGTGTGTGTGAACTGACCTGGCTGACGTCCTGCAGTGTAATGGGTTTCTTTGTCTCCACCACCTGCCCGAACCGACCGAACATAAGCTGTATAGAGAGAGAGAGATGGTTATTTGCTGCTGAGAAACAATATTTCTCACACACACACACACACACACTCACACCCTCACACACTCACACACTCACACACTCACACACTCACACACTCACACACTCACACACTCACACACTCACACACTCACACACTCACACACTCACACACTCACACACTCACACACTCACACACTCACACACTCACACACTCACACACTCACACACACACTCACACAC